CCGCTCTTCTGCAAACCACTCTGCGTATCTCCCAAGGCCACTGGAGGAGTCGCTTAGATCATTGCTTTGGCTTTAGGCAGGCAGAGCCGTGGGAAGCTCGTACCTGTTTTTGCTTCACGTAACGGTTAGTTCCCAGGCCGAAAGGCGCGCGGGGGAACCATAGTCATTGGGCAACGCTCCTATGAATGCCCTCATTCCAAACAGTGTTCCTGTCCATGCATCTATAGCTTCAAATAAAGTAAAACCTTCCTGCAAGTGTGTACTTCATTGTTGCTGTGGGTCCTGACAGGGAGGCGGGGCCATCTGGCACGAGTCTGCAGATCGCCAAAGAAGCAAGCGCTGACATCCCCACCAAGGAACCAACGCTCACAAGCAGCCATCAGAGATGCCAGCTGTCAGATGACAACGAGCCTGTCATCCGCCACGACCTTCCTTCGTACCGGCGGTCACGGAAAGATCCACGTCACCATCCACCTAGATGGCGTTCCATGCAGCATGGAAGTTGACTCTAGTTCATCGGTGACAGTCATCTCTTCAAGGACGTGGCAATGGCTATTCCCAGCCCAGAGTCGGCAGCGGTTGAAGCCAGCGGACACCCGGGCATCTGATTTTCAGGGAAAATGTATCCCTCTGGTGGGGAGGGATACCTTCACTGTTGAGTTTAAGGGGAAATGTACCACATTATCTCTGCTGGTTGCTGAAGGAGACCGGGTTAACTTGCTTGGCCTGGATTGGTTCGAACCTCTGGGTATCACAATTACCAGGGTAAACAATGTTGTTGAGAATAAATGGGCATTGTTGTATGCGGAGTTCCCTGAAGTGTTTGGGGGCAGTTTGGGAAGGTACAACAGGCCCCCGGTGTCGTTCGAACTCGATCCCTCCGTGACCCCGATCTGATTGAAGTATCAGAAGGTGCCCATCTCGCTCAAACACCGGATCAAAGCAGAGCTGGACAAGCTGATTGAGCAGGGGGTGCTTGAGCCGGTTCCATTTAGCAAATGGGAAGGTAAAGTCAGACGGGTCGGTAAGAATTTGCGCTGACTATAAGTGCACGATTAACCATGCCTTACAGCAGCACTCTTACCCTGTTCCCGTCATCAGCCACATTCTGGCATCCCTGGGGAGAGGGAAGGTATTCGCCAAGCTTGACTTAGCACAAGCATACCAGCAGCTGCCAGTGACTAGGGAGGCAGCAGAAGCCCAAACTATCGTTACCCACAGAGGGGCCTTCAGGGTCAATAGACTCCAGTTCGGGATAAATGTCGCCCCAGGGATCTTTCAGGGGTTGATGGAGGGCTTACTAAGAGGGGTGCCAGGCATGGTACTGTATTTTGATGACGTGCTGATTGCTGGGGGGTCTGATCAAGAGCTCATGGAACGGGTGAGAGCAGTGTTGGAGAGTTTCAAGACTGCTGGCCTCAAGGTAAAACAGTCTAAGTGCCTTGTAGGAGTTCCAAGTGTGGAGTTTTTTGGGTTTCGGGTAGACAAAAATGGTGTCCACCCCACAGAGGACAAGGTGGCAGCAATTAAGAATGCCCCACGACCCCTTAACAAAAAAGAGCTCCAGTCCTTTCTAGGACTATTAAACTTTTACCACACTTTTCTGCCACACAAAAGCGTCGGTGGTGGCTCCATTACACGCGCTCCTCCACAAGGACGCGAAATGGAGATGGGGCTCGGAACACGAGCGGACTTTCAAGGGAGTCAAAGCCATATCGTCATCAAACGCGGTCCTCACACACTATGATGAACAGAAACTGTTGGTGCTGGCGGCAGATGCGTCTCCATTTGGGGTGGGGGCAGTCCTCAGTCATTTAATGCCAGACGGCAGTGAAGCCCGTGTTGCATTTTATTCGAGGTCGCTATCTGCTGCAGAAAAAAACTATGCACAAATTGATAAAGAGGGTCTGGCACTCGTCTCTGCAATCAAGAAATTTCATGACTTTTTGTTTGGAAGGAAATTTCTTTTGGTAACAGACCACAAACCGTTGTTGGGGATCTTTGCCCCGACCCGGCAAATCCCCAACATACTGTCGCCTCAAATGTTGCGGTGGGCGATCTTCCTCACCGCGTACGATTATAACCTTGAGCAAAGGCCGGGCAAGGCGATTGGACATGCGGACGCCCTCAGTCGCTGCCCTCTACCTGGCCAGGACGTGGACCCTGCTCCAGCTAGCACGGTGCTAGCCATTGATGAACTGCCTCAGGCTGCAATTTCCTCCATGAACATTGCTGCTGCGACAGCTAAGGACAGTGTACTCGCCCGAGTTTTAAACTGGGTGTGGAGGGGGTGGCCAGCAGGAACTGTGGAGCCGGAGTTCAAACCTTTTCAGGCACGCCAAAATGAGCTTTTGGTGTCGAAAGGGTGTGTTTTGTGGGGTAACCGTGTGGTGGTGCCCCTCAAACTCCAAGAAAAGGTGCTGGAATCACTGCAGGAGGGCCATCCCGGCATGGTCCACATGAAGGCATTAGCCCGGGGGTATGTGTGGTGGCCTGGCTTAGACGCCGACATTGAGGAGTGGGTCAGGGTTTGTATGCCATGTCAGCAGGCCAGGCCCGAACCTCCTACCGCCACTCCACAGAAGTGGGAATCTACAGGGAAGCCTTGGTCCAGGCTCCACCTGGATTTTGTGGGCCCTGTTCAGGGCCAAATGTTCCTGACATGCACTCCATCACTTCGATCTCCGTCATCAACGTGTCTTCGCTAGAGGAGGCCTTGGTGGGTGGAGTGACAACGGGACGCAGTTTGTCTTTTGGGAGTTCGGCCAGTTCCTATCAGACAATGGGATTAGGCACCTGACGTCAGCTCCCTTCCACCCAGCCTCTAACGGCCAGGCGGAAAGAATGGTCCAAATGGCCAAGGAGGCCCTTGCAAAGCTATCGCTGGGTGATTAGGGGGGTAAAACTGGCTTCATTTTTGTTGCGCCAGCACGTTACCCCTTGCTCGTCAACAGGCTGCAGCTCGGCCGAGCTGCTAATGGGGCGTTGCCTCACTACCTTACTAGATCGCCTGCACCCAGATCTGAATGATCTCAAGCCCCAGCAGCAGAGTGCGCTCCTTAAGGTCCGCACTTTTGAACCTAGCGACAAAGTGTTTTGCAGGAATTATGCAGGGGGTCACTCGTGGCTTCCAGCCACAGTAACTGAGGTTGTTGGTTCAAGACTGTACGTGGTCGAGCTTGCAGATGGC